TATAAAGAAATGTTTTAAACAATCTGTTTTGACCAACCCATTATGATAGACGCCGTGGCTGCTGTGACTGCATATTGTTTCTCCACATACTTAGCGACAAAGACCCCAAATCCTCCGAGAATGGCTAAATCACATGCAGTAGTTATTTGCAAAAGTACTAGTGTTGGGTTAGTGAGTAACCTTTTCAATCCTCTTAAAAGCCCTTCAAAAAAATCAAAAAAATGAAATAAAAACATTAAGTACTGTAGATGATTGTGTACCGTTAGTATTAATCCATTTGTAGTTTTAATCGCATATTTGATTGAACTTCTCCGTTTTGGAATTTAAAACTAAAAATATAGTCCACAATGTTATCTGCTTCAATATGCTACTGAATATACTGTTAAATAATTACAGTATTAAACATGGATGCTTTGTAAATTAATTAGCTGCTTCGTTAAAAAATACGTCACAAACTAAGTGAAACTAATTGAAAAGAAAGCATACCTTTTAGACCTGCCCGTACACCATTTTGTTTATCTTTCATAAAGTCTGTTTTGTATACACTGGCAATACTGAATTTTTCATTTTCCCCTTTATTTTTCAACCTTCCGCCACAATATGTGCATTCGTATTTCTTTAGATTTCGAGGAAAGAAAAACAAGGGAATAGATAGCATAACTATTACCACACCGGCCAAGACAAACCCAAGCCACCAAGCCCCTATCCAACGAGAGTCATGGGGATCGGTCGGAGTGCTTTCATCATCGACTCGGTAGAAATCCACATACAGAGAAAGACACTGAAAACTCGTGAAGAATCCGATGAAAGGACCTACTCCCATAGCCATAAACATTCCACCTAAAATTTAGAAATAAGGGCCTATATGTGAATGTAAATCAATCAATCAATCGATCAATTAGTCAATCAATTAATCAATCAATAAATCAATCAATCGATCAGTCAGTCAGTCAATATTCAGCTATTCAGTCAATAAACTAATTATTCAACAAAAACAATGTATCGATCAATTAACATACCAATAAATCAATCAATCTCACCGATCGATCGATAAACACTGACCAACAAAAAACAAAATATCGTATTGAGGATATACACATTCATTATTCTTATGACCAACGTTAGACATAGGATCTGTGGTTAGACAAACCTCGGAGAGAGTGAATGTACTGTAGGTATTTGAAAACATAATGATATAGATTATTTCAACTTTTACAACAGCTTACCAACGTATATTGCGGTTGTCGTGGAATCCACTGTCGAGTCGTCCAGATATGTGATGGTTAACGGAAAAATTGGTGCGGCTCCAATGCCAATCAAGATCTGACCAATTACTAGCCAGAACACACTTAAAGGCTGTTCTACGGTGGATCCACCCGATGCGCATCGGTCCTCGGTTACACCCCTTAGAGAGCATAACTCATAATTGTTGTTAAAGTAGCTAGATTCTTCAGTGTCGTTAACCTGCATGTGGTTACTTTGGCTATATGCGACCGGATTAGCGGTAAAATGCGGCACTGCATGAATAAATAAGCCAACTCCGATGACAACACAACTAGCACCGAGTAGGCGCGGACGGTAAGATTTCGAGCCGTAATAGGTGACGAAGACAACCGTAGATAAGCTCACTATGTCGTTTACAGTGGCAATCAGTCCAGATTGCGAACTCGAAAGTTGAAATTGCTTCTCAATGGTACTTATACAACCACCTAAATAAGTTGACGCAGCTACAAGCATTGCAAGTAGAGGAAGTACCACTAAGCAAAATGCAACTGGAGTACTGACACGATTACAACTTTGGACCAAACAATCTGTGTTTTCATCACCATCGTCGGTTGTTGATGCCCGAGAATATGCACCAGCAGCAGCGTCGTACGTGTTACTGTGTGACTCCTTCATTTCATCATCATATGTAATATCCAATATTGAATCAGCTTTGGACATACTC